ATGTTTATGATTTTAATAATACTCGACAACAACTGGAAAATGATATCAAAACACGAGAAACTCATCACCATAGTTACAAATAATAAGATATTAAATATTATATAATAGTATTTATTTTGAATATAAATTATTAATCTAAATATTGTTCAAGTATATTAATCTAACGTTCACCTAATTCACATAATTTGGTCCATTCTTTCGGAGGTTGCATTTTTAAGATTTCATCTGGAAGTGTGACCAACTGCATCAAAAGACCAGATTCCAAATGCCACTATAAAAGATAAAAAGTTTTAAAATCAGAATCGTATTCATTTCTTCATGTATCAATAAAAAATCTTTACATACCTCGTAAAAAAAATGAAATGAAATGAAAGGAAAGGAAAAAAAATGTTAGTGAATTTGTCAAAAAAAAAGCAATATACTGAACAAAAACGGAATGAAACGATAGCATATCATGTGACAGTGTATTCCCCAGACTCCAGGATTGTCGGAAACAAATCTGATGGCAATCCACCTAGAAAAAAATTATATTCGCCTCTGTTTAGTCTGTTTTTCATTTTACTAATGGGACTATTTGTCACCCATTATATGTCATCAGTGAAAGAAAACGCGAAATTTTTTTTACCCTAAGGCAGGTACTGTTGCAGTATCACGCTTGATTGGATTTTGTGTATTCAAATTATTTTCATCAACTTTATCTCCATCTCCGGTTCCAAGTACCCAAAATTGGTATCCATGCTAAGTTTTTAGAAAAAAAAAGTTAATTTTTAAAATCATTTATGTCGATTAATTAATTTTACGTACAATGTGAAACGGATGGTCGCCATCGTCAGTATCTAAAAAAAAATATTTGTTAATAAAATCATAAAATTGAAAATTCTTATACAATTGTTAATTAATTATACATACTGACGAAATAAATATCAACTACTTCTCCATCTTTATCAAAAAAATATGCATTTGCACTAGTTTCGCTAATTGGTTTCCCTTTAAAGATTTTATCTAAACTCGGAAAATTTATATCGGGTATATAAGAAGATTCATTAAGGAAAGCTTTAACAACTCCTGTTGTATTCTTATGAAAAGCAATTGTGAGTTCCAATTTTCTCGTTGATTCGGGAATCTTTTCTTCTTTAAGTGGTTGTAAAGTCTTGTGATCTAGATCAACGCATTCTGTCAAGGAATCAGACCATGGATTGTCTTTTGGTTCAGGACCATCGGGGGCTCCTTCATAATGTACTATAGCTTTAATAGTAGGAAGACTAGCTGCAGCATCTGGCATGCATTTCTTTTGAAATTCAGAACGCATTATATAATTATCGACCGGTTGGTTTGCAGTAACAATAACCGAATATCTTTGGGCGACATTGATGGGAAGACGATGGATCTTATTTCGATTAGTATATCCACCGTCTGCTTCTATAACTTCCATTTCATGATTATCAATAGAAAAGAAGAATGCCGAAAATGCGCTAGAAGAATAAAAACATTCGTCACTTTTAATTTTTTTTGAATTGCATAATACGATGATGTAGATTACTGTACCTAGTATTAATGATACGAAGGCGATATTTTTTATTTTGAACAAATTCAAATTTAGCAAGACCGGCATTGTCCACACATTTAGAACCCGGTGGGGCCTTGGAGCAATCGAAATTATTTTTTCCATTGATCAAACCGTTATCGGGAACTGTATGTGTAGGAATCGTTCTAATTAGCATCACGCGGTCATACCTTTGTACTTATATCAATATTTCTTACCTGGCTATTATTATATAATGAGAATGAATTAATATGAATTTAAGAATTTCGAATTAAGCTTCAAAACGTTAAATTTACCTCTTCTCCTTTACTTTCAGGAGTTAAGAATTGTTTTAATAAAACTTGTGCATTGGTATGATGATAATCATTCAACATTACAATAATTTCCTCGTCATATTCCGCTTTATATGGATCATCAGGATCGTGAATAACTAATAAATTAAATAGAGAAGTCATAAAGAATTAAAAAAAAAGTCGATTTAAATTAAATAATTAAATAACTTACTTAACGCGCCAAAAGCTCCATCAACATATTGCAACGTTTCATGCGCATGACTAAAGAAATATTATATATAGACAGTGAGTACATAGGAGTTCAAATAATTTTTTTTGGTCTCATAAATACTCACTACCAATGAGTGCCAACTTCTTCGGGAACAGTGAAATTGTAGGTGAATTCATAATCGTCTGGTATAACGCATTGAGCCTGATAGTACGTGTCAATCGACGATTGGTCAATATTGAAAGAATATAATTATACGAATCAGTTTTTTTCATAGACTCACCATCCATGGTACTCCATCGAACCTATATAATAGATTGTGAAATTAGTATGGTCTTTGTAAAAATTAATTCCAGTAAAAAAAAATCACATACCAAGGAGTCCCTCTTTGAAGCATTCCATGCCCATGAATAGCTAATATTTCATTTTGCAATATGCGCTTAAAAACACGTACAACACATAAAATATAGGGAAGATATTTGTTGCAAATTACCTGTTGGTTCTCCCAATTTATTATTAATGTTCATCACAATACGATCTCCTTTGTTAACTTCTATGGTTGGTCCAGGATATTGTCCATTAACGGTTGATAATTGACGAGTAAACCCATCTGGAGCCAAAGTAACTTTTTCTATAGTGAAATTAAAAATATTTGTTTTTGGTTCATACCCCCGTTTCAAAATTGGCGTGGGCGAGACAATTGCTGTCCAAAGAATAATATAAAAGAAAAAGATCCCAAAAGAAGTCATTGTTATATTATTATTACGTTAAATTAATTAGAATTAAGTATAACTTGGCAGTATTTTATATCTTTCATTACCATGTGTACTATGAATGGCCTTATTATTTTTTTTATTTGTCATTAATTTTATAAAAGTAAGTCGTACAGTACATAAATAATTAAAAAAAGATCGATGCTTCTTTCATAGTAACCCATGTAGTTTCGGTTACGACAAGTATAATTTATTTTATAATATTGAAATTAGCTATAAGGCGATTATTTATCATGTGTTTTCTTGTGACAATTCTTTTTATCGATTTCCGATTAATTTCAATTAGTGACTTTAAATGACTTTTTTAGCGCAATTTAATTAAGTCACGCTAATATACATTACATGAGCATGCATTCTGAAATAGATGGTCTCAATGGAACCGATTCAAGCTTGAGGCCGAGAACATCAAAAATAAGACCGAAAATGTTAAGCTTAAGGCTAGAGTTGTGAAATTGGAAGATAAATAATTGCAAAAACGAATTAATAAAAAGTTTATTAACCGGCTTATGTGTTACTGATAATACTGTTCAAACCGATAATTTCACCTTTTCAAGCCGATCATACTATATTAAGTATTCGTCATACATTACTCGCGAGTATTATTACAAGTATGTGAAGTTGAGAAACTATGAAATCGAAATTTATAATTAAAATTTTGGGGTGAGGTATTTTGGATATGAAATTCTGATTGGCTAATTTGAATTTGAAATGTGTGAAATGTGAATTGTGTGAATTTTCACGCATAACAATACCATATATTTTTTTATAATGAGATATTTTAATATTGGTTAAATATTTTGATATTGTTTAAACAGTTGAACTGCACTGACTGATCACAGGACTCGATCAATGGCATAATTTAAATATAAAGCATTTGGACAACATTTGGACATTTTAATAGCATTTATGCACTTTGACATTTTTTAGACTTTCGACAGCCTAAATGTCGAATGACGAAATTTTTCGACAAAGCTCGACTAACAACTCATAAATTATTAACAAAAAAAGATTGAAATACATAAAAGGTTATAATAATAATAGTAATTAAAAAAATTGGAATCTAAATGAAAAATTGAATACCAAGTTCGATCACATCACTCACAACATTGTCTAGTTCAAAATCGAGTTTTTTTATAATAAAGTCATATAGTCTTGAATTAAAATAAATGTCACTAACCTTGTTTTTGCTGAAATCCTTATGGGTCATTCTTCTTTATAGGTGAATTAGATTTCCTTTATATACTATTTTTTTTTTATTTTGGATTTCTTGGCAAATCTTTTTCAATATTAAATTTCAGTGCCGTATAGTTGATTTCAACGAGTTCATTTTCCTATATATGTGAAGTTGCGATTTTATGAACATAGTTTCATACAAGATAGATGGCATTATTATTTGTTTAGAATGATATTTTTATTATTATAAAACATTCTTTTTGTCTTTTAGAATTCCAATTGCAATCAACTCTTGTTATATCAAAATCCTCATATCGTGGACTTTTTTAGTTTCTCCCGAAATTTTTTTATAACACTTTATAATCAACTGTCTCTCGTGATAATGGACTCTTGTTACAATGAAAAATAAAATAAAAATTTTTAATTATAATGAATGCCGACAATCAATTATAATTAATTGAATGAATAAAACAAACAGTTTTAACGAAAGAATATGATGAATTTATTTTCTATAAATGTTGTTATTTAATATTTATACAAAATTCATTACTATATTTTTGAGAGCCTCATTAAGAATTAGATTTTCTATGAAACAATAATAAATTTCTTTGTTTTACAAAAATTAAAAAAAGTTACCAAACAATTACTATATTAATTCATCAAATTCAACATGTATTAAACATGGTAAAATAGGTTTTCTCCCTATCTTGTACAAATTTATTTATTTAATTATTTCCTTTCTTTCTTTATCATCCAAGTTTATTTTTAAATTTAAAAATAAACTTGGAAAATAATTTTTATATAATTTATTTATTATCACATACCATACCGACAATTCCTTAACCACACCAACCGAAAGTTCAAATAATAAAAGAACAAAACCCATTAAAAAATTCAATAATACCATTAATTACAACGACAACAATTATTACTACGCCATCAATAATAACGACGATAAATATCAAGAAATTAATAACAATTACAATCACAATCTCAATAATCCAGTTTCAATGGAACCAAAGTCACCAAAATCTACAGACACAGCAGCAACAATAGCATCATTATCATCAAGAATTACTCTATTGGAAGATGAATTAGAAGAAGCCGGTAAAGAAATGGCTGAAAATATTAGACGTGAGGTGGAATTACAAATGGAATTGGATTGTGTTATTGCGCAGAAAGAAGAAGACATTCAAGCTGCCACTGAACCTTTAGTAAACAAAATATCACAGCTAGAAACTGAACTATCATATTCCACTTCTTCCTCTGGTAGTGATGGTAGTGGTTATAATTCAGGATTCAGTTCACCAACACATAGTAACCATGAATATTATAATATAGAAAGGATAAAACAGGAAATTAACAATAAACATTTAAATGAATTAGAAGAAATTATGGAACAAAATAAAAAAACCGTGGAGAAGTTAAAGTTTGATCTGGAAAAAAATTTCGAGTTGGAAAAACAAAATTTAATAAAACAAACTGAAGATTCATTAAGGCGAGAACATTCGAAAAAATTAAATGATCTCGAAGAAAATCTTGAAAACCAGATTAGAGATTTAAGAAACGAAAACGGAAATCTTGAATTTGAAATCAAAATATTAAGAAAGGAAATCGAAACTTTTGATAATGAAAGTAGCGAAAATAGCGAAAATGAAAAAAAATTAGAAAATTTTGAGGTTGAAATAAGGAATTTGCAAAATGAAATTGGAAATCGCGAATCGGAGGTTGGAAATTTAAAAAAGGAAAATAAATTACTAATAGGCGAAAAGAATTTATTGGTAAAAGAGAATGAGATGTTAAAGAATGAAAATGTTTCGTTTACAAAAGAGAAAGAATTTGAAATTGAAAATTTGAAAAATGAAATTGAAAATCATAAAATTGAAATTGAAAATCATAAAAGTGAAAATGATTTACTGATAAAGGGTAAAGTAAATGACGATATTGAAATTAGAAATCTAAAGAACGAAATTGAAAACTTTAAAAATGAATATCTTTTGTTAAAAAAAGAGAGTTCTGAACAATTAGAAAACCTCAAAATTGAGAAATCAAGAGAAATGGAAAATTTACAAAAAATTAATCTTGATGAAGTTGCAAACCTTGAAAGTAAACTTTTGAATGCTAGCAATAAACTTGCCTCCATCGAAAATTCCTTCCAAGAATTAAATTCCAAATATCAACAATGCACGCAAAATAATTCGCAAGCATCAACCGAACTGATTTCCGCATATGAAAAAGTTCAAGAATTTGAAGATAAAAATAGAATTCTAGAAAAAAATTGCGAGGAATTGTTCGACGAGAAAATAAAACTGAATGCCGAGAAAGAAATGTTCCTAAAAGATATCCAGAAAATAAAACTTGAGAAATCGGAATTGGAAAATGAGCTTAAGGAATCGCACGGCAAATTGGACGAATTCATGAAATCCATGAAAGAGAAATGGGAATCGCAATATCGAGATCTTGAACAAAGACATCAAGAAACTGAGTCAAAGCTGGAAGAAACTGAGTCAAAGCTGAAAGAATCTGTCGAGAGAAATGAACTTATTTATGAAGAATTGATGAAAGAAAAAGAAAAAGAAAAATCGAATGAAATGAATCACGAACAGTTGAACGAGAGATTGAGAGCGTTGGAAAAACAAAACAAAGAGAAAATTAAAGAATTAAAGAATCTTCAATCGTTGATCAAGTCAGAAAATGAGCGATGGAAAGATAAGGAGGAGAATTTTATGATAAACTACGAAAAATTGGAATTGAAATTTAAACAAAAAGAATCCGAATACGATATTATAAATGATGAGTTGGAATTTATTACGGCCGAGAACAAATCCATCAAGCAAAAATTGTTTGACAACGACAAGGAGAAAATATTGATCGATCGAGAGAAAAGACAGATTGAGATCGAATTCAAGAAATTGCTGGAAGAGAAAGAAAATCTTTCCAAACAATTGGACGAAATCGAAAATCAATATCAAGAAGAAATTTCAATTATTGCCAAAGAAATGCAAAGAAGATTAGAATCGTTGGAAAAAAATCAAAAATATTTATTAACAAATAATAGTAACAATAATAAAAATAATCACGATAGAACTAGTAAATTACTTCAAAAAATAACAAATTTGGAAAGTTCTCTAAAATCTTCTAGGCTTGAATGCAAAAAATTGAATGAAAAATTGGCGGAAATTCAACTCGATCATTTCGAAGCAGTTAACGAGAAAAACAAAGTAATTGAAGAAAAATTCGAAGCTCAAAAGAAAATCGAATCGTTAGAATCTAGACTTGAAAGTCTTAATAAATTATCAGGTTTGGAAAAGAAAGACTTGAGATTAATGGAAAAATATCATGAAGTGTTGGCTAAAAATATGGAGTTAACAATTCAATTAAGTTCAAAATGAAAATGAAATCATTCATTTATTGTATATATTAATATGTATTTATTTTAATAATAATAGTAGATAATAATAAAATAATAATTATAATAATAATAATATAATAAAGTAATAATAATAATGATATAAATAAATAAGTGGTACATTATGAGAAAACGTGAAATTTTTTTTATATTTCAGAAAATTTTTTTTTCACATCTTATTAACAAGTGAAAAATTCATTCGTTTTTTTTTCCAAATAACTTCTTTCTTTGACTTTCTTTAAATACTGATAATAAATCAAAAGCTATGAAGGCTCTAATTCTTGTTGGAGGTAACTTCAGATTTTTCCTTTGATGTTAATTTTATGATTATAAAGCTTTAAAAAAGTATCAATACTTTTGTTTGATGCTTGGAAAAATTAGGGTTTGGTACTAGACTTCGTCCTCTTACCCTCACACTTCCAAAGCCTTTAGTAGAGTTTTGTAACAAACCAATGATATTGCATCAAATAGAAGGTCTTGTTAAGGTAATCTCATTAAAAAAAAGGCTATCATTATAATTATTATAATTTAGTAATTTATTTAAATTTTTTAATAGGTTGGAGTAAAAGATATTGTTTTGGCCGTTAATTATCGACCAGAGATTATGGTTAATCTTTTGCAAAAATACGAAGAAAAATATAATGTCAAGATTACGTTCTCAGTTGAAGAAGTACCTTTAGGAACTGGTTTGTTAATTCTCATTAACATAAATCTATTTCTGTTTATAAAAAAAAACCCACATTTTTCTAATGTATATCTATATATGCGCTTGGATGAATTCTTTTTATTAGCTGGTCCTCTTGCTTTAGCTAAAAAAACACTTGGAAAAGATCAATCACCTTTTTTTGTTTTAAATAGTGATATCATTTGCGAGTATCCATTTGAAGAATTAAGAGATTTTCACATTGCACATGGAAATGAAGGAACCATTGTTGTAAGTACGGGAATAAAAACATCTATAGAAATATTTTGTATTTATATTCGTATTTAAAATTTTGAAGGAATAAAAAAAATTCAATTGGTAATTATAGGTCACAAAGGTAGAAGAACCTTCAAAATATGGTGTGATTGTTAATCATGCCGATTCAACTTGTATTGAAAGATTTGTTGAGAAACCTACAGAATTTGTTAGTAACAAGATCAACGCAGGAATTTATATTTTTAATCCTTCTATACTAGATAGAATTGAGGTTTGTGTCAAGTTTATGTCATCCTTATTGTTTTTTTTTTGGGAAACAATTCAACCGATTTCTAAATATTAAAGTCCAAAGATACAAATTATTAATTCTAAAAGCTTAGACCAACCTCAATTGAAAAAGAGATTTTCCCAAATATGGCAAAAGACACTCAATTGCATTCATTCGATCTTGAAGGTTATTGGATGGATGTAGGTCAACCAAAAGATTTCTTAACTGGTACATTCCTATATCTCTCCAATCTTGCAAAAAAACAACCTAATCTTTTGGCCAGTTCTGCTTGTGATTACATATATAAAGGTAACGTGTTGGTTGACGAGACCTCTCAGATAGGTACTGATTGTAAAATTGGTCCAAATGTCACAATTGGTCCAAAAGTTGTAATTGGAAACGGTGTCAGATTAGAAAATTGTGTTATATTAGAAGGTGCTCGTATCAAAGATTATGCTTGGGTAAAAAATAGTATCATTGGATGGCATTCCTCACTTGGAAAATGGGTAAGTTATACAATTATATTTTATTGTAATTATTGATATATATATATACATTATATTCTCTCCTTTTGTATTTATAGACACGTCTTGAAGGAGTGTCTGTGTTAGGAGATGATGTAAGTGTCAATGATGAGATTTATGTAAATGGAGGTAAAGTTTTGCCACATAAATGTATCAGCGCTAATGTTACAGAACCTCAAATTATAATGTAAGGGAAAAAAGGAAGTTTTTATTTTATCATTATTATTGCCATTTTTACTATACTAGTGTATAATTAATAAGTTACATAAAGATTTTTGAAGAGGAATCAGCGATGATGATCACTATAATTTTTATTTAATTAATTTAATATAGACAATTTATTTTTTTTTTTTCATTCACAAAAAAGTTTTTCGTTTCATCTATAAAACTATATAAATAATAAATAAATAAATAAATAAATAAATAATAGATGAAATTAAAACGAATAAATTATGATTTTTTAATAATACCGTTTGCTTGTGCGATGATATTACAAGATGCATATAGGCATGTAATAAAAATATATTACTAGAATCAGCAAAAAATTGAATTTTTACACAAAACGTATTACCGTGCAGGTTCTCGAGCAATTGTTAAAAGCATCACGTTAAATTTATGCAAAAATGGTCAACTACCAGGTAGGTAGCAATTGACAGGCCCAAAGCATCAGCCAAGCGGCGACCTGAGTTGGCCCAACGTACAGGGTTTGCTGCCCCCAGGACTCGAGCTGCCGCCAGCATTTCCATCTCTTTAGTGTTGATGTTGTTACCCGGGAAGATCGTCTCCTCCGTAGAGGCACAAGTTTTGAGGTGCAGCCAAAAAACTCAAAATCGATGTGAAGATGTCCAAGTAACCATTTTCTGTAGAGGAGGAATGATTGATAGTATGCCGTAGTCCTGCGCTATCCATGCCAACAAGTTGCTTTTTGGTTTGGATAATAGTGGTTTTTCGATCGCCCTTCTATAGGGGTTTTGTTAGTTCTTCTACAGTACATTATGTCTAATTATTTTATCCGTGCATAAAACATTGTTGTTATTGTTGATAATGATGTTCTTCTCTCCTTGTGTGTTATTATCCAAATTAATGTCAACAAAGCATAAGATATGTATAAAGAATAAACAAAATATCAAAGTCTTCATAAAATAAATAATGACAATTAGATTTCTAGTAAATAAGAATAACTTGTCCTACAACAAATAAATATACCCACCCACCTAATAATATGGTTTAGATTTACTACCACCAAGTTTCTTAGTATCAACCTCGTAAATCTATCAAGTTGTGCCGAAATAAATAATTTTGGGATATGATTCTCTCTGAGCAAAATTCACGAACCTTTTTTAATTTTGGGCAGGTTAAATAAGACAAATATCTAAAATGGCTCTTGTTGACTTCCAAAAGTCTTGGGGTGGGAAATCTGGCGCGTTCTCGTTTAATTTCATAATTGGGTAATTAGTCAAAGCAATTCCTTAAAATTGATACAATTCCATTTTCTCATCAAGGAAAAAAAAATCTCTTCTTTGACATGAAGATAAAAATAAAAGTTTATTGAGCTTATTGAAATCAGCGAGACAACTCGGCAAAATCAACTTGGATGGATCTATTAAAATATCAAAGACATTTATTATGAAGGACATCAGAGAAAAAATATCGGGAAAGTTCCTTGCTCAGATTCTAAGAAAATGAAAACTCGTGCCTAAATCAAGTGAATGAATGTTATTGAGCTTTCTTTGGGCCCAGGAAAAGAAAAAAGCATATACTTGTCACAGTAATTGATGGTGGAAGGTTAAGATTCGGGAATGAAGAAATTCGTATTATTATAAAGCGTGGTTTTTAGTGTTTTTTAAATTTTTTAAGCCTATTTCGAGGAATTATAGAAACCAAAAATTTGAAGATCGAATAAAACAGTGCAATTAATGCGGAAACAAAAAAGAATTCGACTAATTCTTGAGAAAGAGGAATCTAAGAATTATTCATTATGAATTAAGTTTATTATACATTTGAATCTTAGAGATCTATGAACGTGAATAGAAAAGATTAAAAAGGGTATATGCCTCATTTATTGTATGCGGCACAAATCTCGCAAAAACAAAATATTTAATGGTCACATGGTTTCTATTGCATGTGACCTGTATATGCTGAAAATTCACAATTATAAATGCTTAATTATTACAAGACAAGAATATTTATTAAAAGATTACTTCATAATCAACCTTCTCTGGAATAAATAATTTATTAAATAGATAAAAAATTGGTTATTATTATTAACGTAATGTAATTATATTAATATACATAAATTAACCCTGCCGCACCAATCCTATATTTCAATTTAAACAAATATCATGCATAAATAAATAAACAACCAACTTTTCCCCATTATAATCTCTGAATAACAATCGAAGAAGCTGCCCCACCACCATTACAAATAGCGGCTGCTCCTAATTGGTCAGACTTCAATAAATGTATCAATGTAACTAAAATCCTTGATCCAGATGATCCAAGAGCATGTCCTAAAGCCACTGCTCCACCTGCTATATTTACTTTTGATGGATCCAATCCCAATAATTGTTCGTTTGCTCTGCTTACCGCACTAAATGCCTCATTGAATTCAAATAAACTTATGTCTGAGATTGTTAATCCGGCTTTTTTCAGAGCAACTGGTAAGGCATGAGATGGTGCAATTGTAAAATCTATTGGATCAACTGCTGCATCTCCATATGCTAATAAATAGATATATATGTATATATATATACAATATATATAGATTATTAATGAATGATTAATGGCATAAGTTTGCGAGTAGAGTAAGCTATAATAAATAACTTACATATGATTTTGGCAATAGGCTTAAGACCTAATTCGTCGGCTTTTTTGCGTGTAGTAAGTAGCAATGCGCTAGCTCCATCATTTAATGACGATGAGTTGGCAGCTGTTACGGTACCTTTATAATAAATTCATTACAACATCAATGTTGTAAATTTTACAAACTTTTATTTAATAACAACTATTACAGTAAATTTTATCCGTTTAACGGTTACTTACCATCAGGTTGAAACACAGGTTTTAAGGTTGGAATTTTATCATATTTGACATTTTTGTATTCTTCATCTTCATTAATAACTATTTCTTTTTTCTTGTCTTTAATCGTTACTGGAACAACTTCTTCTTTAAAAACACCATTCTATTTATAAAGATTGCATATCGAATCGATTTTTTTCTTTCCTTTTATAGCATATATAATATTCGTGTGTAAAAATATTTACCTTCCATGCTTCAGCCGCTCGTTTATAAGACTCAATAGCATGTCCATCTTGTTGTTCTCTTGAAATATTAAATTTCTTTGCTGTATTTTCTGCACAATTTCCCTTTTATTTTTTTTACCCGATAATTGCAAACAAATTATTAAAACATTGAAAAAAAAAAAAGAAAAAGAAACCCAAAAAATCATTCTTTTGAACGGTGTTGGTTTACCATACCATGCTAATTAATCATTCAATTAATAATGAAATAATTATAGAAATTTTATCAGCTTAATAAAAACTGATTGATTGATTGAATAATTTTGTAACAAATTTACATTAATTTGATCGATTAAAAAAAATGACTTACTGTATTTGATTATAAACGTCCCATAAACCATCTTTGATTATTCCATCTGCCATTGTTTGATTACCATATAAAACATTTCTTGGAACATAAAATCTACAATAATAAATAAATAAGTAAATATAAAACTTCAAAAGTCTTCTAAAACACCCCCCCTTTTTTTATCTTTTTATATTACTTACGGAACATTTGACATACTCTCCACACCACCTGCAATCATTACAGATCTATCACCAAGCGCTAAACTTTGAGCTGCAAAAATTACCGATTTCATTCCTGAAGCACATACTTTATTAATAGTTGTAGCTTCAGTTGATGTTGGCAAACCTATTTATAATTGATTAAAATTTAATTTGACAATTTTCTCTTTCTCATCAGCTAACTTTCTAGCTATTCCCTTTCTCTTTCTCTGCAACTTTTTTGATATCAGCTAATTCTTGCTTTTTCTTTAATTCCTGTTTATTTCCAAATAATTTTATCTTTCTTTAAAAAAAAATTTTTACATGCCTGCTTTTATTACAACTTGACGAGCTGGTGATTGTCCAATGTTAGCTTGTAACACATTACCAAAAAACACTTCTTCAACCTGATCAGGCTTAACACCTGATTTAAAATGATCATTCAATATTAAAACTTTTATTATAATTTATTTATTCAATTTTACTTACCAGAACGTTCAACCACACTTTTAACAGCAATTGCTCCAAGTTCTGGCGCTGTTAATTTCTTCAATGAACCATTAAAACAACCAACAGGTGTTCTAGCTGCTGATATAATAACAACTTCCTAGAATCGCACATATGAATATAAAAATTAATTATGAATTATATGTATATATATATATATATAATTAAAAATTAAAAAAATGAAAATTTTTTGTTACATTTATCCCACCACCAGTTGTATATTTACGAGAAACCTGATTATTTGGTTAATTTAATAAATCAATTCATCTTGAAATAGTTTCAAAATATAATTTTCTTACATTTTTTAAATAATTCGAAGTTTTATTGGCAAATCGAAACATTTTCTTCAATTAATTAAAGCGATTATGATAAAAAATTTTTTTTGATTTAGATGCAGCGAAATATGTTTGTTTACCCCCAAATCGGTAATGATTTACTTGCAGACTGTTAATTCGCAATTCGCCAGAAACGGAAAGAAATTACATAATGCAGATCGGGAAAATTTTCTCGATTTTGTAATAAAATAAACATATTATTAAAATAAATTTACTTATTATGATTTACTCGAGAAAAATAATAAAAACAATAAAAACAATTTATTGTTTTGTAGAAGTGCTATCTGGAATATCTACTAATCCAAATTTCCATTGTACTTAATTTTGGTATGCCAATTATTTCCAACTCACCTACTTCTACATTTTTTTTCAATTCTTCAACTACTTTATTGGACATATGTTTCCACCATCATTGTTATGTTTGGTGTAAACTAACATTGAATGTAGAGTCCATCCAGATTTCCCATAAAAATCAGATTTTGCTTCATGAGCTGACTGTGGTAAAATCTTCATTTTATAATCAACTATATACAATGATTGCACCCTCCTCATAAAGAGAAAGCA